AGTTTTCAGGGTTTCTCCCATACGATACCAAATGCGGGGTCATTTCTCTTCTAAGTGCTTCCCAAAGGCACTGCCCTCTTTCTTCAGTGTCTCTGATCCAAGTCAAACTTCTGCCTACAGGTGCTCCATCACAACAAAAGCTGTCCCCCCTTTCCCTCCCTCCATGAAACAAGCGAATGCTTGGTCTAGACAATGCTCTCGACCAAGTGAGATAAGAAAAAATTTTTTTTTTCTCTATTGCTCCGTATAATTACGTGTACACACGTACACATACACACACATATATATATGAGTGATAAATGAAATCTTTGCGTAGAATCAAAATCTCTTTGCGTCATGTTTCTAGTTCATTCCTGTCAGTTCTCTTGATTTTTGTAGTGATATGTTATGTTCTTTATATACGCATATATATTGCACCTCTTTGTAAGATGGAAACTTATAAACAGATATGTAAAAATTTTGGGGGTGCTTTTAGGCGTGTATTTTTCAAATAAATAAGCATTTTCTATCATATTTTCTCTTTGATTTGAAGAGAGTTTTTGTTATGTAAATAGCATTTTTAAAAATATTTTTTTTTCCAATTTGAAATAATGTAAGGAAGGTATTTCAGGTGATAACTAGTAAAATGAAAAAATAATTGCATTATAAATTGTAATTATTATATCATTATAAAAAATAACTAATTTTTAAATAACTTTTGTTTTTAATTTTTAAATAACTTTTGTTTTTGTTGTTAATATAAAATGTTATTTACATTAAATAAAAACCATCATAGATTTTTATTAATTTTTTAAAATTAATTAATGTTAAACAATTTATTACGTACTTACTACGAGGTTTATACTTACCAATAATAACACCAGAATCTTTATACTCTCATATTTTTAGAAAGGATTGTTTTGATGGTATGGGCTCGTTAATCTTTTGCTTTCCATATTCTGTCGAGATAACCCCCTTCATTACTTTTATTTCGAAAAATACCTCGTGACACAAATGACAAATGACACGCTTGAGACTTCTGAGAGAGATAAGCCAGACATACGACACGACGAAACCCGAGTAGTTTTTCGACAAATATGTTGATTAAGGGAAAGGCTTATTTTCTAAGAATCAGAAATAGATTTTCAAAATACTGAACTGCAAACTTCTTGGGAAATTTTCATTTTAGCACATATACTTTTGTGTGTTATTTTTAACTGTTTAAGTTTTAAAATTGAAGAGTAAAAGGAATAGTATTTCATTCTATTTGTAGCCTAGATAGTGTTTAATTTCGTAAGAGTATTTCGATTTTAAAAAGTATTTCTTGTTCTTAAACGCCTCTGTTTGTAGTCATTTAGTATTATTGAAGAAAAGATTTCAGTAGATTCAGCGTTTTCAAAATTGCGCCCTTGTGAAGTTTGCCTCACATAGCTGCTTAGGAGTTTTCTGCGGTGTTTTCAAACAGTGAAAAGTAATTTCAATTCAAGCCACAATGGAATCTGATTTTACTATATTTCTTTTTTTTTTTTTTTAAAAGTTAAACATTGATAGTAAAAGGAATAGTGGCCTCGATTCTATTTGTAGCTTCTAAACAATGCTTAATTTTGTAACAAAAAAATCGAATTTAAAAATTTATTTCATATTATTGTTGTTGTTGTTAAATGGGTCTATTTTGTGGTCATTCATCTTGAAAAAGAAAAGACAACTGTAAAGGTTAACTGATTACATTGCATTCTCATTGCACCATTTTTGAGACAATAATTCCATAGACATCATCAGAGTGATTTATACCTTTCTCATTTCATTTCGAACTCCAACGGAATAACTTTCCGGTTTACACATTTACCCTGCAAATATCCGGCTGAAAGGTGTCTATTTGGATTTTAGTCGTATATAATTTTGATATTGGCATATAAAAGATTTCCTCTAAAAATAATTGCATATTTAATCTGAGCTATTGTTTAATAGAATTTTTTACAACGAATTTATATGCATCTACTAGAGGGCCCGGGCACCTAAACCATTGGCGAGCAGCATACTGGGCGACCTGGAGGCCAAGTGGCTGGCGCTCTGGTCTTTGGTACCACAGGCTTCAGGTTCGAATATTGGCGAGTGGCATTGGATGTTTGTGAGTGGTTCGAAATCCACGTTACACTGTAGGTCCCGGTCTGCCAATTTTAACTCAAAGTGTGCAATGATGATGACCGTAGAGCGACAAACCAAACCAAACTATGCATATACTAGAGACGTTGTCCTGCCCTGCATGAATAAAAGAAAGTCCTGAATCTGATTGCAGCGCCATTTGGTCTAATTGTGAATCTAAACCATTCGGGACCCACTCAAACACATTACACACAAAATGTCTTCAAAATCTTCACGGCCGTTTAGAGGAGTTCCTGTGACAAACACACGTACAGAAGAATTATATACATAAAGATATCTTTTGTTTCTACTATTTAATTCATTTATGTGGAGAACTAATTAAATACGACTATATTTCTGATGATTATTATGATTTCCTTTAAATAATAAGTCTGATATATGAGATATCTCCAGAAAAATTAATATTTTCTAAAAAATTTGAATAAAATGCTTTATCCAATTAGCAACCGTCAAAGACTATAATTAATTGAAAGGAAACTTTAGAAATTATCTAATTAAACGTATATTTGCATAGGGAAAAACAGTATCCTACAAGAAACATTGCATTTGTATACTAGCCATCAAATGGGATGCAAAGCAGATCCCTTTATCTGGTATATTCTTACGCTGACGAAATGAATTAAATGAATGACTCCTTTATAAAAATTGTCGCCGCATTAAATTAGAAGGCCTAATTTTAGTCTCAATTAAATTGTTTACGAAGAATATTGAATGTAAGTATCTGCATATTTAAATTATTCTGTAGACAGAATCTATTCAATGTTGGAATTTTAAATCTCTTTACCACTCACAGCAAATAGAGTTAATAACTATTTGCATAGGTTTGATTTTTTGATTTAGTAAATGCGTTATAGTTTTGATGATATAGTTTTTGGTTGTAGAAAATTTTATAATAATGCAGGCCCTGGTCTTTTTATTATACATTTTACTTAGTTTCAAGTTTTCGATTTATTGCTTTATTTATTGATTTTATGTTAAATATAATATACAAACCACTACTGCTGCTTTCTTTTATTTTCACTCCTGTATTAATTTTTTATTGATTCAATACTTTTTATAATTTCTATATATATGTGATTGTATTATTTCATTTTTTTAAGCGCAAGTTATTACTCCAATTAGTTTACAAATTTCCTTTAATTAAATTGTACAAAATAAAGAAATGCTAAAAATGTTTCGCAAATTGGTGTTGTGGTTAACTGTTTATTATAAGGTGATGCTGCTGTTGCTTCTTATCCCACTTTGGTAGACAGTAACATCCAGACCAAAGTTCAAGAAACATGTGGTCTCATAGAGGAGGACGGAACGGGGAGGAATCAGCTTCTGTTGCGATCGGAGTTAGTTCTGTTGGGTAGCAGTCTCACTTCCTCCCTCCTCCTGGCTTGAGACGCTGAAAAGTGCTTGGCAGTGCCTTCCAGAAGAACTTTAGTGGGAACTCACAATTTGATAGTCCGATTCAATGCAAGATGTTGAAAATCCCAAACACCATCGAGTAGCCTCCTAGTTTTTCCTAGTTCCTCCGCACAGCCAACAAAGTCTCCTCAAGGGTGGTGCCTCACAGCCTTAATGTCCCAAAGCCTGATGGTCAAGTGCGGTTAGGTTCTTAGCATTCGGTGCCATAGGTTTTTGGGTTCGCATCCCGGTGGTGTTATGGATGTTTGTAGTGGTTTTGAATCCAAGGCTTAAGCCGTATACCGTGGTCTCGAAAGAGGCAATCGTAGAAGTGGCTGCAGAGCCCAGTAAGAAGAACTCCCTAACTCACCACATCTTTCCTCCCAAACTGTAAAAGGGGCAACCTCAGCCTCCAGGGGCTGCCAGTGATGGTGTGCAGTGTGATGTGCTGTAGTAGTAGTAATAGCCTTAATGCTCCCCAGCGGCGCGTTGCCAGCAGAGCCACGAGTCGGGCATAATATGATGTAGTTGATGGTTATTGGCGATTTTTACCAGAAAACTATAACTAGCACGGATTCATACAAACTTTATGATATTCCTAGATTTAAAATATAAGATACTTATTCATAGATTAAATTTATTACGATTATAAACACAGAAACTTCTGTATTTTCATGATGTAGAAAGCTAGCTGATTTATGCTTAGCTGGGAAACATATATTTTTATTTTGGAAATTAAAAATTTCATGAAATTCACCTGTAAAAAGAGTGAAATTGTATTATAAAGTGTGAAAAATGTTACTTTTATTTTCAAAAGTGGACTTGAGGGACTCCTTTAGAGATGGTCCATTGGGGTTTGAAACTACAGAAGTTTGAAAACAGCGTTAGAAAATAGCAAGTTTCTAAACATTCCAGACAGATACGGAGTTTAAAAATTGGAATATATGTGCCTCTGCTTCACAATTCAAGCAGTTGTTTAAAGTTCCATGAAAGTTAACCGCTTAGTTAGACACACCTATCACTGGGATTTATATAAAACTCGGTCGATAGTGTCAGATCGGGAAGATAAATAAGGATTATTCCCATGCCACTACTTTTAATCATACTATTCTATTAAAAATATATTTTTACATATTACTATTTAAAAAAAAAAAAATGAAAAATAAGCACTTAAAAATTAATATACTTCATAACGGCACTTTCTTAGTTTTGTTAGTGTTTTTTTTCAGACCATTTATCAAGCATAAAATTACGAAATACTAAAATCTAACTAATACTAACCTCCACTAAAATGCGGGGAAAAAGTAGTTTTTCAGTCGTTTTTTCAAGGGTCATTTAAATGTAATTTATCATTATATATTTTAATTAATTTACTAATTTATCATTATTAGATAATTTACGTAAATTAATACATAAAATACTTTTACATTAATTTACATTATACAATTTAATAATTTACAGTAGCCAACGGCCATACCATGCTGAATATACCGGTTTTCAGATCACTGAAGTCAAGCATCATTAAGTGGTCAGTACTTGGGTGGTGACCACCTGGGAACACCTGCGTGCCGTTGGTGGCTCACACATTTGGGACCTCGAATGGCCGAGTGTCTAGCGCTCGGTGCCACCCAGGTTTCGGGTTCGAACTCGGTGGTGCCATGGATGCTTGTAAAAGTGGTTCGGAATCCACTTTAAGCCGTAGGTCCCGGTCTTCTATGACTGCAAGAGCGTCACGGGAGCCAAAGTCAGACTTCTACCTACGGTGCTCCATCACAAAGAAGCTGCTTCCTTCGCCTTCAAATCATGAGTACTTGGCCTTGTGGCTTAGTCAGCCAAGTGGGATAAGAAACAAACAATAATTCTACATAATTTACATTTCAGTAATTTGCCCAAAAAAAAATGTGCAACAAAATGACTGTAGAGTTTATCAAATCAAACCAAACAAACGAAATTTTGCTGTTGATTTTCCTGCTTCCCGTAAATGTATTTTCAAAATGATTTATTTAAAAATTAAATGAATTTATTAATAAATTTGATGTTTAATGATGTATAAAAACCGAAATAACACACAGAATAAATTTATTCTTTGACAAGCATAAGTTAAGGAGACATATTTTTTTTTGCTAATCAATCCCTAAAATGATACATTGAATAAAGCGGTTACATATATGTTAGACTTACTAAGAAGCCATAGTTCAACTTTTTGTTTTGTAGGCTATGATTAAATTTTTTATTTATTCTTTTAGAATAAATAGCAATTATTTGTGTCATGCGCTCCTTTTCTTTTAAAAGATATCGTATAATTTTAATAAAAGATATCGTATAATATTGGTACTTACGTATATGCCTTGGCCACAGATTTGCGAGTTTTTAAATGTCGCCAATCTAACAGCTACAGATTTGACGGCTTTTAAGTGGTGCCAATCTAACAGCTACAGATTTGTTGATTTTTTGACGCCATTTTTTAGTGCTACGAAATGCGTATTTTGGGATTTGCCAGAAACAGAACAAGATGCAATTTTTCAGGAGCGAAAATTTTAACAAAAAACGAAAATGTCCCAATTCCCATGAGATGAAACTTTATTTTGTAAACGCAAGTTTTGGAAATGCAATTTCAGTCAGTGTCCTTATCATGTGGACTTAGAAAAGACAACTGGTCAGAATTTTAAAAGGAGGGAGGCAGAGGGTAGAGAATTTTTAAAAACCGCCAAATCTGTAGCTGCGGTTGGCGTTCAAGATAATTGTGCTCGTGCGAACACCAAGATTGTTCTTTACTGGCGTAAATTAGAGCCAAGGTAGTTAATACGTAAACCGAATTTTTTTTATTCAAAGTACTACTTATTTTTATTGAAATAAAAAATCTGATGCATCTGATCTTTTTCTCCTTATTATGTGTTTCCAGTAAAGACGATCAACTTAAAAATATTTAATTATACTTGTTTTATAAAATCATTCTACTATAATAAAATATTTTTTCACCATTTTCAACCCTTTTATAAGGGAACCACTTCGATGATTTCATCATACCCACGCAGTAGTAAAAGTTTTTATTTATACTTGTCACCATTCTTTAGCAAAAATGTCAAAAATACCCATAAAAGGGAGCATTAACCATTTCATTTCAAAGTCATCGTCCAGAATTTGAAATGTTTGAGACAAGTCACGATAAAGATTCTAAATATTCTTCTCTGGGATTTTGCACATTGAGATCTCGGGACGAGAGATCGTGACTAACTGGGTGGATGAACACGAGGTCGAAGGATTATGAACCATAACTGAGCTATGTTTTACAAGATAGGTCGTAAATTGTGAACATGAATGGCCATTTTATCTCCGGATTCATCACCTCGATTTTTTTATGTTTATTTTTTATGCCGCTTTTGATACTTTTTTTTGTTGTTGTTACAGTGATTGATTGATGCGTGAATCTCTATAAAGATAAGCGTTAATAAAATATATATACATCTGTAGTGTGTGTTTTATCTATTTTTTTTATTTATTTGGAAGTTTTTACCTTTTCTGGTTGTTAAAATGGTTGTTATGTGATGTTTATAAGTTGAGTTGCGTTAATGAAGAATGAAAATCATCATTTTTCTAGATCAAATTCTTTTCTAGACAAATCTAGACAAAAATAGGACAAATATTTTTCTTGTCGAAATTGTGAAAAAAAAAAGTTTAAATAATTCACAATTCTTTATTTATTTATTTTTTGATAAAAGAAGATAAAAATTCTCACATGAAACGAAAATTATTTTTATAGAAAAAAAAACCATTTGCTTTAAGAAACAACAAATTATTATTTTTTAACTTAAAAGCAGTTTGCATCTTTATTCAGTGCAAAAAATAAAGCAGTCTCAAAAATAGATTTTTAGCATTTTTTTATTAGATTATATTTGTTTATACTTGTAGTAATCATCTTCTTAATTAGATCTTTCTTAATTTTTCTTCCTCGTACTAGCTACATTTATTGTTTATTTTAGAAGTTTTTTTGTTATTATTATATAAACAAAATTAAATTTTACGACTTAAAAAAAAAAATGAAAATCAGATGATTAATCTCATTTTTATTGTAATAAAATAAATGAATTTATTAAAAAATCGAATTTATTAATCTGTTCCATAAAAATTATTAAGTAGAGTTATTCTAATAAAATAATAGTATGTTTCAAATTCTTTTTCTGTAAATGAATTTCGACATTTGAAAGCAATTAAACATTATACACCTCGAGCATAATTGAACCTTTTTTACCCATTATTGTCTCAGCTCTTTGAGTTACTAATTACTTTTAATTGATTACTTTTAGTGATCAGTCAAAACAATAAGCTTTCAGCGATGCATACAGGCTTTTAAAATGTCACAACTTCACGCCGAAAGTTGTAATTATTTTGACACTACCAAGTTGTCTAACTACATTTTCTTTATATTGAAGAGTGTAAGATGTGTTTTATATTCAATGTGGTTTAAGAGCCTGTCTAAAAGTAAGTAGCTTCGTGGGTATGATCACGTTGCATCTGAGCTAAGCATAAATCCGCGTTATCTCTGATGTCGTCTATTCAAAGGGCTTCATTTTTCTGTTTAACTTAATTGATACATTTAAAAGTCAATTGATCCCATTAAGTTCTGTTGATTTCAATCTTTGAATTTAAATATTGATGCAAAACAGATATGTTATACTGTGTTCTAGTTTTACCAATCAAAAAGAATTCATCCATTTATCATGCAAAAATCCTGATTTTTTTTCTTTTTGATTTGTTTGTCGCTTTATATTCATTTTTGTCCACTTCAGGCTAATCACCGGTACTTATAGTGAATTCCGAACCATTAACAAAATATCTATGCCATTGCAAAGATTCGAATCTGAAAAACCTGTGGTAACTAAAGGCCAGAGAGCTAGCCATTGGGCATCAGACTTTTTTTTTTTTTTTTTAAAGAAATTTCCTCAATTTCAATCTTATTGATGCGAGATACTGTACGGGTGTTCTAGTTTACCAATAAAAAAAATTCATCCAATCATGCAGCAATCCTGTTTTTTCAGTAATCTGCAACAACATTTATTAAATATTCTTCTTACGTTAGATATTTTTAATTCCTGGTCATCACCTGTTGTTGTATTGTTGAGTAAATTGCGTTAAAGGTCCGACAGGGGTTGCGGTTCTTTTAAAGAAAGTTGTTTTGGTTCAATTTCCATTTTAAATTCATACGATTTTTGAACAGTTGTTTTGAATACTACTTCATTTCAAACAATTGTAATGAGTTTTGCTGTTTAGTGTGTGTCATTTGTTGAGTAAGAAAAAGTATCATTTCTTTGATCTTGAACATGATGGAGGTTATATCGACAAAAATGTCCGGCAGATGTTCTTTCTGTTTCAGTTCGAATAAAGTGCATCTTAAGGGCATCGAATTCTTACTTAAAGTTTATGTGGAGCATGTAACATCTAAAAGAACATCAAAACTGGTTATCAACGATTCTAAGACGGTGAGTTTGATATGGAGACTAAGTCCTGGTCAGCCGAAAAATATCATGAGCGACCAAACAGGTGAGGCCATTGCTTGTGAATATTGAAATATTCACTAGCAATAGGAAATAGGTGAAATAAGTGTATATAAATTGAAATAGGTGTTTTTAAATTGAGCATCATCGAGAGAAAACAATACAAATGTGAATAATGACACGAAAAAAATTACCACATGTTGCGAATAGAGCTAAAAGATAGAGCGATTCTAAGAGAAGCTCTAGATCACTTGCCATATTCTCCAGACACTGCTCCCTTTGATTCACCGATTTATTAGATTAAATTTTCCTGCTCGATTTGGGTTACGCAGGAAACGCACTTCTATTCCAAGTTCTACTACTAGTTTGAATGGCTCTGACAAAAAAAAAGACGAATTGTTCATTTGGCAAAATTCGGCAAAAATTGTTTTAGCTAGAGAGATATAAAAAATAAGAGTCAATATATGGACAATACTTATATTAATGAAATAGCAATTATTATGATTAATTATTTTTTAATGAAACAAATGCTTTTAAGAAAAACTCTGCACTACTTAAGTTTAATAAGTGATAGATCCCTTCTAATTAGTAGGGCATTTTAACATTAAACTTCACTGTCCTCGAGTTTGTTGGTGTGGTTTCTCCTTCTATTGACTAACATGCAAGACAAATAAGGAGTGAGTGGTTCATAAAAATATCCGCTGGGAAGAAATCCTCCCGATTTCATTCACTTTGAGAGACATAGGGCAAACACGGTGTCGAAGAACTTGGCTGCCCATCTCATTCACAATATCAAAGCAGTGAGGACTCTTAAACTGTGGGACATATCCAATAAAGTATGACATATTTCTTATATATACTAAATCATTGCTAGCATTTGAAAAATTAATATGGAAGTTTTTTAATCAATACGAACTTCAACTACTATTGTGAAGAAGTTCTAGTCTTTAATTGAAAGTTCTCAGATTTTAAATCCAAACATTTATGCAGTTATATTTTTTATCATTAATTGCCTTCTATGAAACAAAATACTTCCCAATACTATAAATTGGTTTGGTTTTTTAAGCTCTACGGTCATCT